TCTCATTTTGACTGTTCTGCCACCAGAGGGAACTGGAGTTGTAAGATTTTACAATGCCTCATAAGTGCTGTCTATTCCTAATAAAATACAGGTTGCTTAATGAGACTAATGCTGTTAAACTTGGAAATTTTCACCTAAAATTTTCTGAGGATTTAATTATATTAACTATATCAAGTGGTGTTATTAGTCATTTTATTGGAAAGCGATCTCTTCTTTGATCCCTTTCCTCATATAGATGTCTAAATGTCTACAAAATATTATAAAATTCATCATGAAAAGATTTATAGTGGAAATAATTGGTAGGAATCATGAAAAAGTAAAGATCTCACAGGAATGATAAAAATTATATATATATATATATATATATATATAGTATAATGTTCAATTAAAAGTGGGAAGCTGATTAATTTTTAAATGTTCTTTCAAGATTTAGACAATTCTCTAATTCTGTTTCATATTATAGAGTGAAGAAGTTATATAATATATGAAAGTTGCCAAGAATGTGACTAGTTAAATGACACAGCCATGGATCTATTGAAGATAACTATATTTGGAACACATCAAGCATTCTGATTTAGTATAGCAATAAAGATAAATCTACTTTTTCTAAAACTTCATTTTACCCAGATGTCCTTTGAAAGATGTCTGCAGTAAAATGTCCACCTCTTAATATGCAGAATGTCTACCTCTTAATATGCAGTGATGACTCAGCAATTATTCTTATGCTTTAGTTTTTTTTTTTTTATATTTTATTTTTAGTACTGCAGACTTTTGCCCTCTCTTTTTTCCCTAAACTTAGTGTTTGGTTTTGTTTTGGCTTTGTTTTTAATATGTAATATGAGCATCAAGCAGACTGCAGGAAAAACGTGAAGATCGCTTTTCAGATATAAAAGCATCATAAAGCTGTACATCAAAGCCAGCTTTTGTCTTATTTTACAAATCTCTCTCAGTGTGTGTCCCAGGGTGGTCTCAGGATTACTGGCAGCAGCAGCATCAGGAGCTACTGGTTAGTGTTCAGATTTCCAGCTTCAATCCTAGATCTATTGACTCTGCATTATGAATATGCAGCCCTCACATGGTTCTCATGCACATCAAAGTTTAAAAACGACTTTTCTGGAAAATGTATATAGTCCCTGATACTTTAACTTCTTGAACTATTATCCACGCCGAATTCTTGTTTATCAGCATTTTCATGGTCAATACATATTAACTTTTTTCAGCTCGTGCGTTTCATATTATCTTCAGTCATGGTTACATGGATGACTCCCAAGTGTACATGTCTAGACAGATATGTCACCTATTTGAAACATTATTTAGGTTATGTTCCCTTGGATGTTCATTCTGCATCCAAACCTTATATTATTCTTAGTTTGTTTTTTTATATATACTTTTTCTTTTATTTATTTATTTTTTTCAATTGCATTTTAGGTTTAGGGGACGTGTGAAGAACATGTACGAAGGTTGCGTAGGTACACGCATGGCAGTGTGGTTTGTTTTTAAGAGACAGAGTCTTGTTTTGTCACCCAGGCTGGAGTACGGTGGCACGATCATAGCTCACTGCAGCCTTGAACTCCTCAGATCAAGCTATTCTCCTACCTCAACCTACCAAGTAGCTAGGACTACAGGTTCACACTACCATGCCTGGCTATTCTTGCAAATTTTTTGTAGAGATGTGATCTTGCTGAGTTGTTTAGGCTGTTCTCAACTGGCTTCAAGTGATCCTCCCCCTCTGCCTTCTGAAAGGCTGGGATTACAGGCATGAGCCATGGCTCCCAGATTCAAATCTTGTTTTATACTTTATTGTGTCTTCTTGAGTCATCTTTTGCCACCAGTGTTTGTGTTAAATATATTTCTTTTAAAAACGTATTGCTGCATCCGCTTCCCAGCAAGTAATCTTACTCCCTTACTCCCTGACTTCCAATCCATGCTCTGTGAAAAATCTTCCTAAAATTTCCTCTCATCAGTTATTTCCCTTTACAAGGACTTTTTGATGACTCTTACATCCTAGATTCCACTGGTCTTGGATAGGTATCTTTATATTTCCTACATAAAATCTCAACCCTACAACCAGGTTGTTAGTTTATTCTTCCAGCCCACATACTTCATTTTTCCCACTGTTATCTTTGCTTTGCCCTCTCATTGTCCTTTACAAGTATTTGATCAAACCTCCACAAAGAATAGACAAATCCCCAGTTCTCTCAGAAAGTCTTCTCCAGGTCATCTCTATTAGGTCATGTTAAATGTTCATATGTGACTATGATGTATCTTCCTAACTCGGCTTTTAACACAGAGACCAAGGCTTATTATATTTTTGAACATCCTACATCATACAGCTATATACTAAATCTACAGAAATTGCTTAATGCTGGTTGATTAATTTAGGCTATGCTAAAGAAAAAGGACCTCCTCCTAGTTTCCCTTATATTCCAGACTGCAGATAGGAATATATTCATTCAATGTCATCACTTTAATTATAATATTGGTTGTATTTATTTGATACTATTGATTTTTTTTTTTTTTGAGATGGAGTTTCACTCTTGTTGGCCAGGCTGGAGTGCAATGGCATGATCTCAGTTCACTGCAACCTCTGCCTCCCGGGTTCAAGTGATTCTCCTGCCTCAGCTTCCTGAGTAGCTGAGATTACAGGCACCTGCCCCTCTAATTTTTGTATTTTTAGTAGAGACGAGGTTTCACCATGTTGGTCAGACTGGTCTCGTTCTCCTGACCTCAGGCAATCCACCCAAGGTGGCCTCGGCCTCCCAAAGTGCTGGGATTACAGGCATGAGCTACCACACCCGGCGATACTGTTGATATCTTTAGTAAAGCTGAAATCACTGCTTTCTAATGTTTCCTCATTAAAAGTTAGTCTTGGGACAAATTAAGCCACAAACATTGTAAATTTTGTGTTATGGTAAATGTCATGCAATTTGAACTGAAGAAGTTAAATCAAGTGTGCTTTTTCGGTTTGAGAGGGTTATTGACTTAGCGAGAAAAACAGATGCCCTATTAGAATACAATAATGTTCAAAATAATCCACTTCTTTGAGATCTTGTCTTGCTCTGTTGCCCAGGCTGGAGTGCAGTAGTGCAGCCAGGGCTCACTGCAGCTTTGACGTCCTGGGCTCAGGTGATCCTCCCACCTGGGCCTTTCAAAGGTTTGGGATTACTGGCATGATCCATAGCACCCAGCCATAACCCACTTTTGACAAATTGATTAAATCCTTTCAGAGGAAGGGTGGTTTGGTTTGCAGTGACACACAGCAGTCCCCACATTTCTTCTAGGGCTCTGTCAAGGCTGTGAATGTATTTCTCTTGCTTAGTAATGACAATAGTGGGTATTCTTGTCATTTTAGGTGATGGATTAAAATCAAGAAGGCATAGGGGCTTGGTTCCTTCAGAAAGGAGTAGCTTGGCAGAGGAAGAGAATTAACCAGACCCAAATAGCTCTACACGAGGAAGACACTCAAGGTGCAAGGTGACTGGGTGTCAGGAATATAGAAATAACAGAGGGACATTTTTTTGTGAGGAGACAAGTGTGTAAAAACTCAGGAGAAGCCAAAGAATCAGGCTTCAAAAAGAGTGGGTATAGTAATAGCACACACCTTCTAGAGGAGCTGGCACTTTAGAAGGCGTTATCCCTTCACAGTGAGCAGCAAGCAGACTGAAGGAGTACTACGGAATTCAGTTGGGGACCTTTGCTAGTGCCTTGCCACTAACTTGACTCAGCCGTTCTCTGAGTGTCTGCTCAATTATTTGTTCATTATAGACTATCTCATCTCTTCCTACTCTGTTTATCTTTTTCCTGTCTCCGACTATGTCTGGAAAGTAGGGTTTTGCTACCTTATTTTATAGACGAGGGAAAAATGTTCAAAGAAATTAGGTATGATTCCCCCAAGGCCACCTAAGTAGCAGGTGGTAGGACTGAGATTCAAACAAATTCCATCTGATTCCTAAAGCAGTGCTCTTTCCTTCATAGCCCACCGTCTATAAGCAGAGGGGGTGTTCAAAATATTAAACATTTAATCTTGTTTGTTGTTAAGATTCACTAGTAATATACTGAACTATACAAGATTAATAGTGTGGTCAGTACTATGAAAGAGAAAGTGCACCAGCCCAGTTAAACAATCAAGGAGGATTTTAGCCAAGATGTGCAAGGAGAGACAATGTCACAATATTGTGATATTTGAGCCAACTCTGGTTGGTTGGCAGATTTGGAAGATTGAACCAACTCTGCCAAAACAAAAGGTGAAAGGATTTTTAAACAGTAGGGTGAGTGTGTTGGGCTGTTCTTACATTACTATGAAGAAATAGCTGAGACTGGGTAATTTATTAAAAATAGATGTAGAATTGGCTCACAGCTCTCAGGCTGTACAGGAAGCATGGCACCAGCATCTGTTTGGTTTCTGAGGAAGGTTCAGGGAGCTTTTACTTATGGCAGAAGGTGAAGCAGGAGCAGAACTATCACATGGCAAGAACAGAAGCAAAAGTGAGGGAGGTGCCACACACTTTTAAGCAACCAGATCTCACATGAACCCAGGGCAAAACCTCACTCATCACCAAGAGAATGGTGCTAAGCCATTCATGAGGGATCTGCCCCATGATCCAAACACCTCCCACTAGGCTCGCCTCCAACATTGGAGCTCACATTTCAACGTAAGATTTGGAGGGACATCCAAATCATGTAAGTAAGGTAATGGAAAAGTTCTAGAGGATGTTAGGAGGACGTTAGTCAATGTGATTGGGCTACCTGTTTTTGCCAATTGTCACTTATGAAACTCAGGCTCCTACCCTTTCACAGATACTAGGAGATAGGGACACTATCTTGTTTAATGATTGCATTTCAAATAGATGGCTCCAGGTTTTTCAGAAAGTAATTTCTGGATTGTAAAAGATTTACATCTCAAAGAGACAGTGAAAGGAGTTATAACTGCAAATTTTCTAAAGCATATGCTCTAAGAAAAGGAAGGTCAAAGGCCTATGGTGAAGAAGAAACCTGTCTCGGCGGAGCAGGCCATGGCGCAGCTGTGCGGGCCGAGGCGGGGCCAGGCGCTTCTTGCCCTGCTGGCATCACTGCTCCTCTCCGAGGTCCTAGAGGCCAACGGAGAATGCGGCATCCACGACTTTTGCCTGGCTTCGAAGGTGGTGGGCAGATGCCGGGCCTCCATGCCTAGATGGTGGTACAATGGCACTGATGGGTCCTGTCAGCTGTTTGTGTATGGGGACTGTGATGGAAACAGCAATAATCACCTGAGCAAGGAGGAGTGTCTCCAGAAATGTGCTGCTGTCACAGAGAATGCCATGGGTGACCTGGCCACCAGCAGGAATGCAGCAGATTCCTCTGTCCCAAGTGCTCCCAGAAGACAGGACTCTGATGACCACTCCAGCGATATGTTCAACTACGAAGAATACTGCACCGCCAAGGCAGTCACTGGGCCTTGCCGTGTGGCCTTCCCATGCTGGTGCTTTGACGTGGAGAGGAACTCCTGCGACAACTTCATCTATGGAGGGTGCCCGGGCAATAAGAGCAGCTACCTCTCTGAGGAGGCGTGCATGCTCCGCTGCTTCCGCAAGCAGGTGGATTCTTCCCTGCCGCTTGGCACAAAGGTGGTGGTTCTGGTGGGGCTGTTTGTGATGGTGCTGATCCTCTTTCTGGGAGCCTCCATGGTCTACCTGATTCGGGTGGTGCGGAGGAACCAGGAGCAGGCTCTGCATACCATCTGGAGCTCCGGAGACAACGAGGAGCACCTGGTGTAGAACACATACGTCCTGTCACTGCCCTGTCGCCAAGAGGACCAGGGAAGGGAGGGGAGACTATGTGTGTGCGTTTTCAAAAGAGAGCGATTGACTTGGATTTGTGCAATCATTAGGGCTGAGGTCTGTTTCTCTGGGAGGTAGGAAGCTCTTCCTGGCCTGGTGGGGATGGGTTTGCTTTGCAAGTCCTCTAGGGAGGCTCCTCCTCACATGTGTAGCCTGTGGTCTGGCGGCAGCCCTGAGTTGTTTCCTCACTGGTAGATTTCTTTCCTCCAGGTAGAGTTTTCTTTGCTTATGTTGAATTCCATGGCCCTTTTTCTCATCACAAAAGTGATGTTATAATCGTTTCTTTTGTTTGTCTGATTTTTGTGTTTTTTAAAGTGTAAACAGAAGTTTTTTATTAGCATTCCTGAAAGTAAAATGTACGAGTTTAATAAAAAGGGGCCTTCCCCTTTAAGAAAAAAAAAAAAAGGAGAGAGATCCAAGATGGCTGATCACTAGCAGCTCGGGATTGTAGCCCCCAGTGAAAGTGCAGAGAAGGAGAGGACGCCACACTTTCAGATGATTTTTTGTTGCTCACGCAGCAGGAGATTCCCAGCGGAGGAGCCCTACAGGTCGCCAGCGAGACTCTTGTGGCCAGCAAGGTGGTTTTGCCGCTGCCTTGGTGCAGCGGTTCTTGGTGCAGAGTCAGAAAAGCACCATCAATCTTAACACCCGACAGTGGCGCAGTGGGCTGCTCAGATTTTAGCGGCGGGAATCAACAAGTTGGAGGTCCACTCAGAAACCCAACTATAAAGATTGTAATTATAAAGACCACAGATGGATAAATTTATAACGAAGGGAAGAAAACAGCCTAAAAAGGTTGAGAATACCCAAAATCAGAATGCCTCTCCCTCTACAGGGGATCACAGTTCCTCATCAGCAACAGAACAAGGCCTGATGGAGAACGAGAGTGTTCCATTAACAGAAGCAGGCTTCAAAAGGTGGATGATAAGAAACTTCTGTGAATTGAAAGAACTTGTTCGAACCCAATGCAAAGAAACTAAGAACTTTTAAAAAAGGTTTGATGAAATGTTAACAAAAATACACAATTTAGAGAGGAATATAAGTGAATTAATGGAGCTGAAAAACACAACACGAGAACTTCGTGAACTATGCAAAGTTTTAACAGCCGAATCGATCAAGTAGAAGAAAAGATATCAGAAGCCGAAGACCAACTTAATGAAATAAAACAAGATGACAAGATTAGAGAAAAAAAGATAAAAAGGAACGAGCAAAATCTCCAAGAAATATGGGACTATGTGAAAAGACCTAATCTACGCTTGATAGGTGTACCTGAATATGACGAAGAGAATCAATCCAAGCTGGAAAATACGCTTCAGGATATTATTCAGGAAAACTTTCCCAACCTAGCAAGGCAGGACAATATTTAACTCCAGGTAATACAGAGAATATCACAATGATATTCCTCAGGAAGACCAACCTCAAGGCACATAATTGCCAGATTCACCAGGGTTGAAATGAAGGAGAAAATACTGAGGGCAGCCAGAGAGAAAGGTCAAGTTACCCATAAAGGGAAGCCTATCAGACTCACAGCAGATCTCTCAGCAGAAACCCTACAAGCTAGAAGAGAGTGGGGGCCAATATTCAACATCCTTAAAGAAAAGAGCTTTCAACCCAGAATTTTACATCCAGCCAAACTAAGCTTCATAAGCAAAGGAAAAATAAAATTTTTTGTGAACAAGCAAGCACTCAGAGATCTCATCACCACCAGGTCTGCTTTACAAGAGCTTCTGAAAGAACCACTACACATAGAAAGGAACAACCAGTATCAGCCTTTCTAAGAAATACCAAAAAGTAAAGATCATCAACATAATCAGAATTTACATCAGCTAATAGGCAAAACAGCCAGCTAACATTAAATGGCAGTATTAAACTCACATATGTTATTATTAATTCTAAATTTAAATCGACTAAGTTCCCCAATCTAAAGACACAGGCAGGCAAAAAAAAAAAAGCCAAAACTCGTTGGTATGCTGCATCCAGACCCATCTCACATGCAAGGATACACAAAGACTCAAAACAAAGGGATGGAGAAAGATTTACCAACCAAATGGAGAGCAAAAATAAATAAATAAATAAATAAATAAATAAAAAGCAGGAGTTGCTTTAAAGCAACAAAGATCAAAAGAAGCAAAGAAGGATATTACATAATGATAAAAGGATCAATGCAACAAGAAGAGCTAAAGATCCTAACTATATACGCACCCAATACAGGAACACCCAGATACTTAAGACTTATAAAGAGACTTAGACTCCCACACAATAATAGTGGGAGACTTCAACATCAATATTAGACAGATCAATGAGACAGAAAATTAACAATGATATCCAGGATTTGAACTCAGATCCGGAACAAGTAAACTTAATTAACATTTATAGAACTCTCCACTTTAAATACACAAAATATACACTCTTAGTACCACATCACATCTATTTACAGGTTTCAATGAAATATTGGTTGGCTGCTTGTTTGTTATTTTCTTCCCTCATTTTTTTTTATGTCTCTATTATTAAGCACAATTATAGGCATACCCATTTTTAGACTGCATTCTAGCCTGGGCAATAAAGCAACACCCCTGTTCTCTCTCCCTCTTCCTCTTTCTCTTTCTTCCTCTCCTNCAGGTCTGGCTATAGTTTATATTTATTTTGATTTTTTTAGAAACAGGGTCTTGCTATCTTGCCCAGGCTGGTCTCAAACTCCTGGCCTTAAGCAATCCTTCTGCCTCAGCTTCCCACAGTTCTAGGATTACACATGGGAGCCATTATGCCCAGTCAATATTTATTTTTAAATTGCCCCACTTGTTTTTAAACTTAATGCCAAATTTAGCTTTTTCCTAAGGTATAATATTACTGGTTTTTTGTACTGGTTATATTTCTTTCTAACTCAAAAAATAAATATAGGCTGGGTATAGTGGCTCACTCCTGTAACCTCAAGCACTTTGGGAGGCTGATGTTAGAGGATCACTTAAGCTCAGGAGGTCGAGGATGCAGTAAGCTATGATTTCACCACTGCACTCCAGCCTGGATGTCAGAGCGAGACCCTGTCAGAGCAAGTGGGCGTCATTTTTCACCTCCTACTTAGGGGAGATAAGGGCCATTGATTATGGAAGCAAATGGCCATGTCCAGGGACACATACAACCCCCCTTTTCTGGCCTTCCTCTAGTTAAATAAATCTTCCATTCAGCCTCCGTACACTCCAGATATTCTGAAACCATTACATTTTCATGTAATGTTATTCTTTCAATACAATCCATTGGTTAATCACATAGCTACTAATGACAATTCGATTTTTCTGCACTTGGGGAACAGTGACTATTAATAAATTTCAGACAATACATCCCGATCTGGGGACTAGGAAATATGGTCATGGTATACATGAGTTCACCTCTCACCAAATATCACCAATGTGCAGAATTCCTCTCTCTTTCAGCTAAGCATTAAAATCAGTTCCACTGGATCTTTATATCAGATAATGATATTAGAGCAACGAAGACCGCCTGGTACACAGTCCCATCCCAGGCACTAGGATAGAAGCCAGAGAACATAAAAGCACATTTCAGGTCCATGAAAAGTGACCTATTGCTCTGAGGAGACTCACTCTGAATTTTCTGGAAGTCAATGAACAGTGATCTGAGAGAGTCTTTCTTGTACGTGCCCTGACATCATTTTGCAGGAAAAGAAAGAAAAAAATGGGCACTGAGAACAGTCACAGAATTTAAGACAGGTTGTATCTTTGCCCTAAAATACCTGGACCAGAAACCTCTTGCTGGGAAGACAAATGGGTGGAAGTTGCAAGTTTCACTGTACTGGAAAAGTAGGTACAATATGCAGCCAATATAAGCACAACCAGTGTGCACACGGCCTACCAGTGGAGCAGAAGATGACTGGATGGCACATTCATTATTTGGGGCGGTAGACAAGGTAAGTGATTTTGCATTAATCTCTCTCTCTCTCTCTCTCACACACACACACACACATACACACACACACACACACACACACATATATATATATATATATATATATATATATATGCAAAGTGACAGGTGCCTGTAATCCCAGCTACTCAAGAGGCTGAGGCAGGAGAATCACTTGAACCCAGGAGGGAACGGTTTCAGTGATCTGAGATCACATCATTGCACTCCAGCCTGGGCAACAAGAGTGAAACTTTGTCAAAAAAAATTATAATTGTTCCAAATATTACAGCTTCTGCTCAGAATTTTACATATAATAGCTGATTACACGTTATACTTGGCACAGAAAGCTGATGAGTAGCCTGTCAATAACTTTAGATTACATACATGTATGAATTTAGCCACTTTATGACCTCTGCAAAGCCAAAATAACTTAAAAATAAGGTATTTTGTAGTTTAAAGTATGTCACTATGAGCCAGGCATGGTTGGTGGCATGCAGCTACTTGAGAGGCCGAGGTAGAGGGATGGTTGGAACCTGGAAGTTCTAGTCTGCAGTGCACCACGATTTCACCTGTGAAGAGCCACTGCATTCCATGCTGACAACAAAGTGAGAACCTGTCTCTTAAAAAACAAAAACTATCTATTTATAAATAGAGCACATCACTGGTTTAACACACAGCAAACACTAATTCGCTACATAAAATTTACTTAACAGGCCAGGCATGGTGGCTCACACCTGTAATCCCGGCACTTTGGGAGGCCAAGGCAAGCAGATCACCTGAGATCAGGAGTTTGAAACCAGCCTTGCCAAGATCACACCACTGCTCTCCAGCTTGGATGACAGAGCAAAAAAAGAAAAAAAAGAAACCTGTCTGAAGTCTAGTTCAGCTGAGGGGCATGTTAATGCATCTTGGTCAATGCCCATTGTTAAATATTTTAAGTACCAGACTGTGAGCCATTTAAGGGCAATATTTTAAATCAGATTCTTTTTTGTATCATTATAGTATGTAGTTCTGTATATATATTTTAGATGATCATCATATATGTTGAATAAATGAATACAGGCATACCTTGGACATATTGCAGAGTTGGGTCCAGATCACCACAATAAAGTGAATAGCACATTACAGTAAGTCACAATTTTTTTGTTTCCCAGTGTATATAAAAGTTATGTTTACATGGTACTGTAGTCTACTAAGTGTGCAATAGCATTATTTCTAACCAAAACCCCAATGTATGTACTTTAATTAAAAAATTTTATTGCTAAAATATGCTAACAATCATCTGAGCCTTTGGCAAGTCATAATCAATTTGCTGTTGAAGGGTCTTGCCTCCCTATTGATGGCTGCTGACTCATCAGGGTGGTAGCTGCTGAAGGGTGGGATGACTGTGGCAATTTCTTAAATAAGACAAACAATGACATTTGCTGCATCAGTTGACTCTTTCTTTCCTGATAGATTTCTCTGTGGTCAGTCAT